AACAATAATAATAATATTAATATATACTGTAGTAGTAGTAGTATAAATTAAATAGTAGCAATACTAGTAATAGCAGTGGCAGTAGTTTTGGTATTAATTTTATTATTAGAAGTATTAATAGTGGAATTTTTTTCTTCTTAGATTATCAATATTAGTAGTAGTAGGTTTGTTATTCATTTTATTATTAGTACTAGTAATTGTATTCTTCTCCATCATCTTATTAATAGTAGCAGTAATAGTGTAAGGGTTAGTAGTAGTAGCAGTAGTAATCATCGTAGCAGCAGTAATATTATTGTCATTACTGTTCTTGTATTGTTAACATTCATAGTAGTAGTCGTTGTATGCATATCATATACTGTTATGTTTTTGTCCAAGACCACTCCTTCACCCACATACATACGTTATTAGTGTTCTGAAGCCTGCAGGTGATCATGTCTCTGAACAATAACTGATTATTAGAAGCTAATCAACACAATAACACACACTAAAGCCCACGCATGCACAGAACACCATGTAAGCCCCCTTATATAACAATATTTACATCAGCAGGCTTTAATGCAGGTTTTGTGCCATAACAACATACACATATGATTAAGCCTACCAACTGTCAATCACTCAAGATGGACTATTTAATAACATTCACACATTCAGGATGCTGTGAGAACATGCACAGCTGATTGAGTGACTAAGCCAAAGCAGACATATTCACTACCAGTTTGCACTAACAGGCATTTTTCTCTTTGGTTTAATCCAACTGATAAGACATAAAATATATTTTTGATTATTGATTAAGAACAATAAATTACGAGCTCTGAGGACAAAGCCTTTATTAAGCTAACAGTGGTTAATTAACTGTCTATTACCATGTTATTAAGCAGTAACTACAGTAAATGGGGCCTTTTGCTTATCGCTTTTGTGTATTATACATCTTAATTTGTGTTATATCATTTATTGATACAAAGATATCCAACTAGTGTTTTTGCTTAAATATTCTGGTAACACACAGTCTAACAGTCTAACAGGTTATATATTGAACTATGTTAATAAGCACCCTTCATGCAGACCCCATGCTCAAAAAAGGGTTATAAACCAGAAATAAAGACTAGAGTCAGTAAGTCTTATCGAAAAATCATCACTTCATGATACGGTATCCGCTTCTCTTTAATTAGAGATGTCATGATTTTCTATAGGTATTAATAGAAGTACAAGATTACACTGTTATTAAAAAAAAAACATGCTATAACACAAATAAATATGATCTGAGCAATGCTTTAAGCCACTCTACCTACTGCTTGATACCACCAGTTATGCCCAGCCGGTTAAAAAGCAGCTCCTTTAAGCCTTAATAAGAACAAGTGCATTATAATAGTTCAATTTGTCACTATTGAAAGTATCATTCAAGAATTAAACACTTACTGTGCAGATATCATTAAAGCATGAGTTATATTCCCATATAAAGGTTATGCTTTTGGAGTTTCCATGCAGAAACACTAGGTGGCATCACTGCCTCACTGGCCGAAGGACTGAAAATACTCTTATTGGCTCAATGCTCTTAAGTATAATTGATTCAAATAGAGTTTTTAACACATTATTTTTTCCAAAACGAGCGTAGTCCTTTATATAACACTCGTTTCCAGATTTTAAGTGTGACTCCACTTAGCGCATGAATGACTACTTGAGTCCCACAGTGCATGATTCCACTGTCATAATTAATAAGGCCAAGGGTAACCATGGCAACACATGTGGTGTGACAAGGGCAAAACCTACTGATTAAGTAAAACGCTGCATATCTTTACACTCTGAGTACCTATAATGTCAGGCCAGGACCTTTAATCCAGACTCTGGTCTTGGATTTTGATAAACTGGGGGCTTATACACTGTTTATATGTGCAACAGATAAAAGACATGTCCAAAAGTATCCAGACAGCCCTTCTGATGAGTGAGTTCAGCTACTGTAAGGTGCACCCACTACTGACCCAAGCATTCAACTGCACACAGCTTGTATAATCTCCACTGAAAAGAGCGATTAATAGAATAGGACGCAGTGGAGCAGCCACACATGAGCTTGAGGTCACCATGTCCAAAGCTGACCATGGGATAGAGGAGTATAAAGCCTCCCAGCATTGGGCTGTGGAGCAGTGGAACTGTGTTCTCTGGAGTGATGGAGCTCCATCCAATAGAATTGGGACGAGTTGGAGATCCAGAACTGACCATCCAACATCAGTACCTGACCTTACAAAGGCCTCACAGCAATGTTCAACATCTAGTGTAAAGCCTTCCCAGAAGAGTAACGGCTGTTACCGCAGCAAAGGACTCACTATTTATACCCTTCATTTCAGAAGAAACATTACAGTCTACAAACTTTGAACAAACAGTGCAGTTTAGAATAATTACAACAGAATAAAGTTACTCGATCAGGTGTATCAGGTGTGTTGGAGCAAAGAAAACATAAAATGGGGCAAAGCAGGTGGGCCAAACTGGGATAGACCTCTGAGGTGGTGTGTCGTTCTGTAGTTGGCGTCATGCCGATATTAGGAATTTCGAGTCTAAGCTGGTTTTCTCTACGACAAAAAACAGACAGCAATTTGAAAAATCATCACCATGTGGTAAACAAAAACATTCCAGACCTGATACGATTTGTCCTACGTACATTATTAGTAGCGCTTTGTTTGTAGATGATTAATAAACTCTTAACATATCATCAATAACATATCAATAATATATCAGTGAAGTACAGGGAGATTCACTTGAAAGAGGCCCCGAATATTCTGTAATAACTCTCTCTAGGATGAAGCAATCTGAACGAAACAACATGCAACGTGCTCCTCAGTGTATGGAGCTTCAAACAAGCTGGGCTGCCCCTGTGTCGGAGCGATTAGGTAGGCGCCGGACAGCCGTTGCGACGTTTAACCTTCCGGGTGCATACCCCCATACCCATTCATGCGTTCTTTAGAGTGAATCTCCCTGTATCAGTAGTGAAGCATCTGAATACATTGAAGTGAATATCTTATAGATGTTCTGCTGATACATTACTTACATTAAGTAGATGTACTGTTAATGTTACTTTCATTACCCAAAACCTAACCTTACCAACCTTACCCAACACCTAACCTTAACCTAAACCCAAACCTAACCCTCACCCTGGCCCTAATCCTAGTCCTAACCTTAACCTCAACACAGTGTTTTTTCACCAAATGTCACTGGATCTTCTGAAATATGAGGTCGTCAAAATAGTCAAAATACTTAAACCAGTAGAATAGAATAGAAGGCTAATCTGGCAAATAATCATTTCTCCAGATGTTTATCTTTTAAAATAGTACCAATACCAGGAATAGCAGTAGTAGTAGTAATGGTTATAGCAGTATTATTATTAGTAGTACTACTAGTAGCTGCAGCAGTATTGTTATTATTATTGTTATTACTATTATCATTATCATTAGCAGTAGTAGTTTTGCTATTAATATTATTCTTTTTCTTCTTATACTATCAATATTAGTAGAAGTAGTAGGTTTGTTTTTAATTTTATTATTAGTACTAGTAATAGTGGTATTCATCTTTATCATCTTATTAATAGTAGCAGTAATAGTATTAGTATTAGTGGTAGTAGTAGTAGTACCAGCAGTACTAGTACTGTCATTCACCTGGTCAATAACCCTGACCCTAATCCTAACCCAAAACTTAATCCTGACCCTTATATGTTTTTGACAGGTTACCAAGAGTTTGTTGAGTGTTTCATCTAAGAAGTACCACTCAAAATAAAGTGTCACCCATTTTTCCACCAAATGTAACTGGATCTTCTGAAATATGAGGTTGTTAAATAGTCAAATAATTAACTAATCCGGTGAATAATCATTTCCCCAGACATTTATTTTTTTAAATAGTAGCAATACCAGTAACAGCAGTGGTAGTAGTAATGGTTATAGCAGTATTATTAGAAATAGTACTACTAGTAGCTGCAGCAGTACTGCTATTATTATTGTTATTACTATTATCATTATCATTAGCAGTAGTAGTATTGCTATTAATATTATTCTTTTTCATCTTAGACTATTTCTTCGTAGACTTTTATTTAGTACTATTAATAGTAGTATTCTTCTTTATTATTGTATTAATAGTAGCAGTAATAGTATTGGTATTAGTAGTAGTAGCAGCAGCAGTACTAGTATTGTCATTAACCTGGTCAATAACTCTGGCCCTAATCCTAACCCTAACCTTAACCTCAACCCAAAACCTAATCCTAACTCTTTTATATTTCTGAGTTTCTTATATGTTTCTATTACTGAGCATCTGTTTAGTGTTTCATCAAAAAAGGACCACAAAAAATAAAGTGTGACCCATTTTTCCACCAAATGTCACTGGATCTTCTGAAATATGAGGTCACCAAAAAAGTCAAAATAAACCAATAGAATAGAAGGCTAATCAGGCAAATAATCATTTTCCAAGACGTTTATTTTTTTCAAAGAGTACCAATACCAGTAATAGCAGTGGTAGTAGTAATAGTAATAGCAAGATTATTATTAGTAGTACTGCTAGTAGCAGCAGCACTATTATTATTATTATTGTTATTACTATTATCATTATCATTAGCAGTAGTAGTATTGCTATTAATATTATTCTTTTTCTTCTTAGACTATCAATATTAGTAGAAGTAGTAGGTTTGTTGTAGTAGTAGTCTATAACTCTGGCCCTATTCCTAACCCTTACCTTAACCTCAACCCAAAACTTAATCCTAACTTTTATATATTTCTGACTTTCTTATATGTTTCTGTTACTGAGAGTCTGTTGAGTGTTTGTTTCATCAAAAAAGGACCACAGAAAATAAAGTGTCACCCATTTTTCCACCAAATGTTACTGGATCTTCTGAAATATGAGGTCGTCAAAATAGTCAAAATAAACCAATAGAATAGAATAGAATAGAATAGAAGGCGGATCCAGGCGAATAATCATTTCCCCAGACGTTTATTTTTTTTAAATCATGATTTTTATTTTTTTATTTTTTTTTTTTTACTTTTGCAGAACATAAAACAGAATCGTGGGTTTTACCACATACACTATGTATTCACATAATACACCAAACAGCTACAAGGAGAGAGACCAAACAAAAGAAAACACTTTTTACATACTGCATACTTGACATGAAAAAATAGAACCAAGAGCAATCTTTAACTCATATAGGAATGTAGCTGCCAGTTATTCATTTTTTTGTTTGTTTTTGTCGTTTGTTTACTTTTTTGTCTTTTTTCTATATTATGTAAAACTGGGCATGATCAATGTTTCATACTGAGTGCTGACAGAGTGTGGGGGGGGGCAACAAAGAGTGTTCGAATTACAAGTGTGTAAGTGTGGGTGCTTGTGTTTGTGTGGTGTGTACGAGTGAGTAAGGAATGCATGGGTGTTATCAAGAGAGGTTGAGTCATTCCAAGAGAACAACAAAAGAGAAATATATAGAAAATATTTCAAATGGGTAAAAGCGCATTTCTGGGCTCGCGCACCAGAACATCTATTAAGTTAACAGTCTATTCATCTCCATAGCATACAAGTTTCATTTGTCTACCTGTATAATATCATTGATTCTAGATATCTGCTTCAAGTACCATTTTCAGTTATTTGGGGTGAGGGTTAAAAGAAAAACAGAGCGAGAACTGCCAAGAAATTTGAGTGCTTTGCTTTAAATTATGATAATCATAAATGTCTTTCGACGTGACTAAGTGAGGAGAAAAGAAAACAGAATTATCAGCACCATAGACGTTTCCTATACGCTTAAAACTGAGACAACGGTTCATATATCATATTAAAGATTTCAAAAACAGCACAGCAACAGTTCCTTTGCTATGCGCGTTGTTTCTACAGTGACCTCTACGGGTAGCACCATGGTTAAAAGTTTCACTGCCGTCAAATATAAGCGCGGCTTCAAGAAAACATCATCCTGAAATGCAGCCGTCTAAACCATACAATGAAAAAAACTGTTCTACGCCGACAACTGTCGCTTCGGCAAGGTCTACGAAAGTGGCAAAGGTGTAAAACGAACCCCACGTCACATTCAAAGTCCGCGACAGCGCAAACATATACGCACATCCTGCAAAGGGCAATAGAATAGAACAATGTTTTAAGTAAAGAAAGAAAAAACATCCAATTGTAGAATCATTTCAGTGGCTAGCTCAAACCTTGTTTCATTCAATAGATGTTAGATTATAACATCGTCACGCTCAATCCTTACATTTTCCTTCCCATCTCCGATCACATGTTCACGCATGCTGCTGCTTCGCATTTTGTTCTCAGTTCTGTTTCGTTTGTCGGGAGAGGAAGCCTGTATCGGTGGTTGTTCAGAGGTATTGGTCTAAGTACAGTACTTATTAAAAAGAAGAACAGCAGTATATTGAGTACAGAGAACAAACACTGGGGCCCACTTGTCTCAGTGAACCAGAAGTAACCGATCTGGGATCAGCCTTCTCCCGTCCGTCTCACCGGATTCTCTGGGACGTGAGAAGCTACTGATCTTCGTCGCTTTTACTCCGACTCATTCGGAACATATGAACCCGAGTGTTGCGTTAATGTTGAGGGCTTGACATACTGACAACCGTAGACTAAAAAGCAAAGGAATCATTCATGATTTATTCCTCACCAGTTAAATAATCTTACCTAAATATTTAACTATTTACATTTCTATCTCTCCCAATAAAATTCCATTAAAAAAAAGCACAAACAAACAAAACGAAACGAAACAAAAAAAGAAAGACTAGGATTCAAGTTGTCAATATTCCGTTCTTATCATTTTTTTTTCCTCCTCATTAAAATCAAGATTAAAAGTGCTTTTATAAAATCTTTTCTTCTATATTTACAATTTGTCTAAAATGAAACAATAAAACAAAACAAACAAAAAAATGACAGCAAGCACAATAACAATAATCTTCATCATCATCATCATCATCATCATCATGTAATAAATAATAATAAAAAAAAGTAGATAAGTATGTGGATGTAGGCCCGAAGGCCTACAGTCTGTAGCGCCCGTGTATTAGTAGCATGTTGTGACTGTGATCAGCGTCTCAACATGAGGTAAAGAACTAGAGGACGGCTCCATAAGCACCAGACTCTCTCTCATCTGTGAGCACCAAGCAAGTCTACTGCCCTGTGTAAACCCACGGCAACCCTTCGGCTCTCCCCAAGAACCATGCACACGCATACAGTCACGCAACAACACAATCACACGCAACATGCACCACGCGCTTTGGCCAGCCACACAGCCAAAGCGCTAAACAGTGCCGAAATGAGTGAGAAGCACCTCAAACTTAAGGGGGAGATCAGCTGTCAGGGCAAGAGGAGACAAAGAGGAGCTATGGAGTCATTTCAGAGGCATGGAAAGACTTTAGTAGCACCAACCTCCTTCATTGTCCTCTCTTTCTCTCTCTCTGCTCAGGCTGGTAACTGAAGCTTCAGCCTGACCGAACAATTCTAGATCCATTTTTCGACCGGAGCTCTTGATTTCTCCCCTTTGTCTGGCTCACTTTTGGAGAATTCCCGAACTCCAGCCGTGTTTGGGTCAGAACTGCTGGGTCTTGCTGGAGGGCACAGGCTCGGACCCACTGTGGGTCATCTTTAGGGCATTGTAGAGGTGGACCAAACTGCAATAGCACCTCAGAGAACTCTGTCTTACCACTGTCTCAAGGGTAGAAATCGATACTGCACCATGAAAATATACGTCAGCACCGAGTGGTTGATGACACTGATGCCCCAGGAGAGTGGACCTAATCTGGGGCAGCTTGTTGCTTAACCAGACGTATATCTGCTGTTTAAAGAGCACCTCGGTTCACCGTCTGCCACCATTATGGTGAGGGCAAAAATCGGAGACAGCTAAGACAGAAAAAAAGCACCATTGGAAGGACCAGGAAAGACCTCCAGTATATGTAAGTGTGGCACAAAACAGAAAGGCCCCTGTTGATGCCAGGACTTTCCTCGCTTATTTTGGTCGCATACTCTGTGATTACAGCATGGAGCTAGCCCTCTTATGAACACTGTCCTTCCTCCAGAGTGTCTTGCGTAGGTTACAGACACAGGCATGGCTCGCAGTGATGTGAAGGTGCTGTATATTATGGAGAGGTTAATTGGGAAAAAGGCAAAGAGAAAGAAAAAACAACAACACTCAACAAAAGCAAAAAATTATGATTAGCTTGTTCTCACATTCATATCGAACAAGCAAGACTGACGGAGACAAAGTCCCTCGCCATCAAGAGAAGAAAAGAAAAGATAAAAAGCCCTCAAAACAATCATAATATTAATAACAACATTGATGAAAAACAATACGATTAAAATAAAAAATAGTCATCTTCATAATATAATAACAATACCTGTAATATCAACGTCAACAGTAACAATAGCAATCATAATAATATTGATAATAATAGCAATAATAATTAGAATCATTAAATTCACTTAGGGAGGGTAAACTATGGAATCCCTCCCACGTTGGAGAGAACAAGAGCACCATAGGCAGCGTGTCCGTTTGGGGGACTCCCAAACTGCCACCAAAACTTGAGGTAAAAAAAAAAGAAAATGAAAAAAAGAGAAAAGTGCCCCTCTATCCTTCCCTTCCACTGATGGTCTGGGAGGGAATGCAGAGCTGGGAGAGGTTCAGGGTTTAAGGAATGGTTGAGATTCCTTTAGCATTTTCGCACCCTGCATTTCCACTCCTGGCCACAGAGGAGCACCTGTCTGCAAGAGCTTACATAAAGCGACTGTAGGGCCCTGTGAGCTGGGTGAAGGCGTAGGGTGACACAGTGACCATGGTGGTGGTTTGATGTGTGGGGGCCAACCGTGTCACCACCCCTTCCCGTTTGTCCTTGGTGGGCCCCGAGGAAGGACTTGAGGCTCCGTCGGCCCACTTGCGCTTCTTGCCGTAGGCCTTGATGTCTTCCTGTGAGAGGCCCAGAAGAGCTGCTTCCTGCTGCCTCTGCCTTGCCCGCTCAGCCAGCAGCTTCATCTTGGCCTCCCACAGCGCTAGGCCATGGCAGGGCTGGTTCAGATTCTTGTGCTGGTAAAACACCAGGGAGATGCGAGTTGGGTGACTGCGATCTGGCTTCTTCAAGGGCGTGGTGGCGTGTAGCTCCCGGCGGGCGCACTCAATGAGAATGGAGCCATGGCCTGGAGCCACCGCTACTCCTCCAATGTTGGGGTCAAGGAAGTTGTGCTCACTGTCTGACCACACCTCCTCCTCTTCAAGCTCTCGTTCACTCTGGCTTTCTGCCTCCATCTCCCAGCAAGCTTGCCCGTCTGCCTTCTGCAAGGCGTCTGGAAACAGACGGCCCTCTGGAGCTGGAGATGGAGTGTTTCCTGCTGCGGAAGCACCGCCGGACTTCCAGGCCTTCTCCTGCAGCCCCAAAGGCGTTGAGCCTCGACTCTCTACCGCCTGGGACAGCATCCTGTCTGGGAATGCCCCAACTGGGGTACCCTGTCTAAGGCCCCCAGGACCAAAGCCTGCAGACCCTATCGGACCCCAAGCTTTGGGCTGTGGACTGGGGACAGGGCTATCCCAGCGGAGTGGGGTACCTGGGTGAGGGGAAGCAGCTGGAGATGGGCCTGCTTTCAAGGCTGGTGAGGGAGAGGGAGCAGGGGATGCCATTGGAGTACCAGGGTAGGAGCTCCACTGATGCTGTGGATGAGCATACTGAGGATGTTGAGGCTGGGTATGGTGCTGCTGGTGGAGCTGTTGCTTGTCTGGAGTGAAAGGTGAATGGGCTAGACCAGGTCTGAGATTTCCATCCCAGCCTTTGGATGCCAAGCTGCCATTGGCCTTGTGGCCAGGCCAGGCCTCAGGTTGAGGGGTGACGCTAGGGGTGGTGGGGCAACTGCGGACTTGCCCATCCATCCTGCTTTCATATAGTGGCACTTCCATAGGCTCCTGCTTGATGACTGGTGTGACACGGTGTTGATCTGGGGTTGCAGACGGGGTACGAGTAGGGGGAGCCGGAGACTGGGATACCTCAGACTGGTGCAGATACCCAGGGTTGCCCAAGTTGGTCACTTGCAGCTGACGCTGCTGATCAGAGCGGTTAGGGTATGCTTGTGCCAGCCTGGCCTGAAGACCCTGGATATCAGGTTTCTGTTCTGCTGCAGCAGCCTTGGTCCAGGTCCCATTACGACCCTCACAGCTCAAGACCTCAGGGGGCAAAAGTGCATTGGGGGGGTAGTTGTAGTAATTGTAGGGCATACCTTGGAGGTTAGGATGGAAGCCATTAACAGGGCTAGGCGCAGACGGCTGGCCATTGGAAGGCAGGCCACCTCTTGCATAGGGACCAGGGTAGGAATAGGCACCATTAATCCTGTAGGGATCAGGACACATCTTGCCATTCCCAAGGGCTGGGTAGCCATCAAAGTCTCCATTCATGGCCTGAAAGCGGTCAACCAGCTCTTTTTTGATGGTGGGCTTCACCTCTTGTTTTGGAATTGCTGAAAGTAGATGCAAAATGATATGAGTACAAAAATATTACAGAAAGAGGCTGAAGATATGGCACTAGTTACCTGTACTATCAAAAAGAAAACAGCACTACAGTACTGTACAGTACTGCAATCAGAAGGAAGAATCATGCCAAGGACCTTAATGTAATAACTGCCTTCAATATATTACTTGTGTAGTGGATTCACACCTTTATTGCCTTGCTGCAAGTGCGGTGAAACTGCAAGCCGGACTTCCTTCTTGATCGTCTTCTCTGGTGTCTCTGCTAGCTGCTGTTTCTTGTTCTTCTTCTCTGATGCAGCTTTCTTGGCCTCTAAACGACGCTGCCGGCAGGACTTGGCAGGCTCCGGAAGTTTCCGGACCTCTCGGCGGAAACTGCTGAGCACCTGGATGGCACCTGTCTGTATTTTGAGGCGCTGGTTCTCCTCATTGCCAAACTCATCCGTTGGGGAGATCTTATAAAGCGGAAGCACATGAAGCTGTTCGTCGTCCGGGATCACCCCCACCTGCCGATTGTCCTCTTTTGTGAGAGTGCAGACCTGAAAACAAGAGTACTGGATTTAATACAGGGCTGGAAACCAGTCTGTGTTGAGTCTTATATTTCCTACTGCATTTTAAGATGTCTTATCACCAGGAAACTTCACTGTGGGATGGAGTATAGTCACATATGTTTGGTTGTATGTCTGGCTCCTTTTGCTTATCTGTCAGTAGGAATTCCCACCATTTCTTTTTAATCTTTATACTAACCATTATACACCCAACAAATTAGGCAAAGGTACTGACTAAGATCTCTTAACAAGGAAGGTTCCCTAAAATGCTGTCTGCAACCACATACACAGGCACCAAACTGTATATGACCCCATAAATAATTGGTATATCACTGTCTTACACATACCCAAGTCCCAAACAAACACTTACATTGACATATGCATGCACACACACATACAGACGTACCACAGTGCAGCCGTTGTGGAGGTTATGCTGGTCTTTGTGAGCATGGGCACAAAAGTCCATGCATGCAGTGATGCCTGAAAAGGGCCGCCCTTCTTTCAGACCCAGCCGGCAGTCCGTTGCCACCTTTTCATTCGCACACTGTGGAAAAAAACAGGGAATGCACAATTACCTAGCTAGATCAGCACAAACTACTTCTTTACTCTTCATTTTCTGTGCAAAAAACTTTTTTTTAACATGTCCATCAGACTAGACGACATTAATCCTCTCACATTAGAACTTGCTTGGGTTAGAAATGCCTTGAAATGAAACCTGACAGCTCATTTTTGGGAAGCATTCATCAATAAATTAGACAGCTGTGGTCTTTTCTGCCTTTGAGCCACAAGTCTCTATGCTCATTTTCTCATTCAACTATCAGGGTGGCCTGCCTAACCACCCGCAAAATAGCCTTGAGGATACAAAACTCTATGCTGTTGTGGTTCATCTAGCTCTCCTCTGTAGTATCATTTTAACAGCAGCGCATAATTTCTGGATCACAGACCGCTCATACAATGTTCTTATACACAACAATTGTGCCAGTTCAAGAGGTTTCCTGTGCACTGGACTAAGGAAACAAACAGGTTTATGCATGAACTGCACATTTTCTTAGTCAAAGCGATTGTTTGAAGATCTACACAATTTTCTCTTTACACCAAATTTATAAAAATGAAAAGAGCTACAGACAAAACTCAGGCTTGATGGTTGCTATTACTGTTTTAACTATGAAACTATCTTTTCTTCATTTGTACTAATAATAGTCATAACATATTATAGTGTCAGATTCTGCGTAAGCAAGTCTATTTGAAATTACCTAACAGCTCGACACAGTTTAAAGCAAGTAAGTGCTGATTTATGCATGCAGTTGGTATGCAGCACAACGGTAGTTGATGGCTAAAGCTTGCATTATGTGCTAGCTACATTAGCCTTGTAGCTCTGGTGCAAAACTGAAGAACCACACATGTCTTGGCTGATCGACTACAAAAGTGCATAACTTGATTTTTTGGCACTTTAAAGGAGAATTTCCAAGCTTGACTCTGGGGAAAAGCCTGTCAAAGCCTGAGGCTGGTCTTACCTGGTTGCTGTATGCCTGAGGGGCAAGCCTTTTATACAGAGGTGCCACCCTGGTGGCCAGGTCCTGGAAGTTATCCCTGAGAAGCTCCTCCTACAGGAGAAAAATTCCATTAACATTTATTTCCATGCTTGTACATGTACTCACACTTAAGCTACATATAGTTGGTGATGAGCAACTGAAAAATCTTCAACAAGACAGATATTCATAAGGCATAACATATTTAATAAGGCACTTCATTCAAAACGTTCTGTTATTGAGCCAACAATGACTCATATTTTCGATTAGCATTCATGATTAAAGAGGGCCTTAATAATGGAGTGTGTTCCAATTCATTGTACTGACTCCTTCCAATTGTGCTGATAAGCCACATACAATTACCCACAGTTTGAACATATAATTACATTTCTAATTTACACTGTAATGTAACTCTTATTCAAGTCACTGACCTCTTTGGGGTGTTCTCCCTGTAGTCTGAACTTGCGGGGTGTCTTACTGCGGGCGTACTTGCACCCGTTGAAGTACATGCTCCAGGAACACCCGAAAGAGAAGGAAGCACCACAGGTCTCGGGGTCTTTCCCCTGGCATGCGCACGTACGACTGCGGAGAAGAAACAGCATTTTAGTACACGGTCACTGAACTGAACACCAGTTTACTGATTTAAGACACTCCATTCAACTCAACAGGTAACTTTCAAAACCTCCAGGAGTTGATTTAGGTGCATTAGGGTGTGCTGCAGGACCTGAAGTATACGTGACAGTATGACCTTGTAGTGATGCTTGTAACATAATATGATAGGGCTTATGATATCAGCTTAAATCAGCTTAAATCTTTTTTTATTTGAAAATACTAGCCCATTCCAAAATTAACAAATGAAAGCCTCTGGACGTATGTAAATATAAATAACTGTATACTACAGCAACTGTGGATTCATTTTCTTTTATTCAAAACTAACTGGAAAGCAAATAGAAATTTTACAAGAAATACTTCAATACTTTGCTACACTCTAATATTGCAGTGTTGCTCCTATATTCATACATGACTATGCAAAAGTCTGAACATCCCCAATCAAATGACGTGTTTATTTTCCAAGTAAAACACATCCTCTACACTGTTAGAAATAAAGGTTCTGTGCAGGTATTTCTCGTTCATTAAGGTAAAAACAATGTAAATGTTCCCTTAAAAGTACAACAGTGGTTTTAAGGTCTGATTGTGAACCTTAAATAAGTTTTTCCAGGTGAAAAGTTCGTATTTGTACCTTTTCATAACCGAATGTTTTAAAACAGAACAGTAAAATAAAAGCCTGGAGACGAGACGGGGTGTGTGGAGTCAGTACAACTTAGAACACATCATTTCAGTGGATTATGGTACAATTATGTTCCCTGACTAAAGGTACCCTTAAGGGTACCACCCCAGTGACAAAAGGGGTACTGCCCCAGAGACAGTTTTGTACCTTGCATTTGACATACTGAACATAACAGTTTCATTTTTTCTTCCAATATGTTAAATTCAGCAAATAAACGCTATCCGTGCTTTAAAAGCGTGTTGCCGGTAGAGGATGTGTTAACATATTTTCACTTCAAATCAACCAAGTACGTCATTTGACCAGGGGTGTACAAACTTTTGCATGCAACTGTATTTCCGAAGCACATGCAACAGCAGTTTCCATTCGCAAAGCATTAAGAATGAATGACAGCTGAGGCACAGCAATCACTGTAACCCGCATTTCGCAATGATGCCTAAAGTGTTAACAGCAATTTGCAAAGTCCTTCTATTGTTTTCTAGATTAAATTCATGGTTATTTCCCTGGCGTTCCATGATATCGAGGCTCATCATAAGTTGCTGTGGCTTAGCGAGTTTAACGTTAGCCATTCCTTACTTCGCTGTATCAATACCAGTGCCAGAAACCTCAGCACAAAATAGTGAGACCATATATTTTGATTATTGCCTGTACAGCTTTTCGCGCACCCCTGGTTAGTGTAATCCCAACACTAAACTCTGCACTGCTGTAAACCCTGTGTTTGTTACTCTTGAAGAATCAGTGGCCTGGAATGAGTAGTGCATACCACAAAAATATGATTTAATTCACATAATTTTGCTTGGTTTGTTTTGGCTCTGCAAAACGTGCATTACTGTCAGAGCAGATGTTGTCTGGCAGGCCAAATGAAAACCATTTGCTGGACAAAACTGCCTAGTGGGCCACAGTTTTGGAAGCACTGCTTTCAACTACATAATAAGGAGCGCACAGAAATGAAATGATTCAGTTTATCACTCTAGCTCACATTAAAAAAAAAACAGCTTACAAGATCCAGGGAGCTGCTGCGCCTAGAACCCCATAGGGCAAAGGGGTCTCCAAGTCAATCCACAGCAGAGTTTAATGATTACCCTGCTGTAAGACGTCTGAGTCTCAACAGCTAAGGTTCAAGTCTTTCATTAGCTAAAGCAGGTGTGTCCAAGCTGGGAAAACACTAAGTCCTGCCGAATGGAGTTAAGGATTTACCTTTGTACTGCTGGAAATGACCCATTTGTACACATCCAGTCGTTTGTAAGTATTGGCACCCGGTTAAATTGCATTCTTTTGATTTTTTAAGCGAAAAGAAGTTAACGTCAGCTACAGAGAACCCATCTGTTCACATTTTAATACACAGTTACTGTTTATTTGATGGATTTAACAGGTGTATAACTCACTAAAATCAATAAAATATAAAATACGGCCTCTGCAAAAGTTATGGTATATTTTATGTTTTATTTTTTCAGCAAATAAATAAAAATTGTGCACTAAAATTTGAGGAAAACACCATATTTAAGTGTGTTTTCTGCTTATTTTCAGTTAGAAAACCAACGTCATTTGAGCTGGGAAGTTTTTCTGAAATTTGGTGACGGCAGCTGTGGCCGTCGGACTGAAGGCTCTGCCGTCTCTGTAACGCCTGATTCACACATGCTACCTTTGTGTAGTGTGAGCGGTACAGCTCAACGCACTGGCCTTTCATACATACAGTGTTTAATCTGCGGAGTAGCAGCGAGAGAGTCATACAGACTTTCCTCTTTCCACGTCAAGTCACTCTGCTCATTAAAAATATTATTTATGAAAGTGCACGGTATGTTTGTTTACCCTCGACAGCATTCTGACTTGTGATTAGGCAAAAGTTTCAAGCCTGGTAGACCAACCAGGAAATCTGTTTGCAACACAGAATGTTTAACTAGTAGTTCATCATGAGCTAAAATAAATTTTATAAAATAGCGTTTTAAAGTTTTATATGGTTTTCTGTTTAATTTGATTGATTTTTATGGCTTATTTCAGTTTTATACTGGTTTACTGTAACAGTTTTGTATTGTTTGTATGTGTGATATAGTGATCATTCTACGTTGTTAGGCTACACATTAACTTGCAGGATTTCTCTATATGCGTGCTTCAGCCTGCTCCTGCCTGCAGAGTCCAGACTTCTAACCCAAAGCTCTGGAATGGTGCTATATTACACTGTTATTATATCAAAACCTATCAAAACTCTTTATTAGGACTCTTTTTACACCTTTTGGAAACACTAGCTGCTGTTTATGTTGTGTGAAAACTGAATGATCAATAGACCAACAGAAACAGCCCTAATAACCTTTTCTCCTGAATCCTGAAGACAGTGATGATAAATAAACCTTATCATTATTATTAATGCTAAACTTCATTGTAGAAACATTTGGACTTTGCAGCTGATGTTTTTCTCACTCACTCGTCATTGAGGCCACAGCGGCGGCTGGTGGGGTTGCCGTATTTGGTGAGCGTGTCGGAGACTTCTTGGTAGAGTTTGTCCCCCACAGACTTCGGAACGCCCTCCCAGGCCAGGATGAGGATGATGATGACTGCATTGGCACAGTGGTGACCCGCCCGGTGCCTTACCAAACACAACAACTTCTCTTTCTCACTGCTGCGCCGAATCACCTGCAGAGGGCAGAAGAGAGAGAAAGAGTGATATATAAACATATATATAGAGAAAGAGAGAGAGAGAGAGAGAGAGAGAGAGAGAGAGAGAGAGAGAGAGAGAGAGTGTGTGTGTGAAGAAAAAAGACAGAGAGAGAAATAGAGATTACAAGAGAGATAGTAAAATGGAGAGAAAGAGAGACAGAGAGAGAAAAAGCATGAGAGATACAGAGAAAGAGAAAGAAAGTGGAAAAACAACAGGGGGGTTTAGATAGAGATAGAGTTACATAGAGAGTGACCAATAAAACCAATTAGACGCAGCCATTACACTTCATAAGCAAAACTATACCGCATAACCATCCGACTGCTACAGTTTAAGTGACTCATTTAAATACAACACAATGCAAAAATTTATTTTCTTCTCATTTACTGCAAAACTATTACAGTCCTTATCTGTCTGACCTGTATTCCCTTCAATTATGCATTCAAATCATTACTATTATGTCAAAATTTTAAACAAAAAGGAGAAATACAGAAAATTACAGTTTGATTATATACTATTTCACAACAAACACAGCAGGAGGAAGACTGAATGATCCTCCAGAAGCCTTAAGTGTGCAGGGAAAATGTCGCTATCGGCACTATAAGGATTATCTGCCATCAGCACATATGCTTTCAACCATAAACCCATTAGCTGGGAGAGAGTGAGTGTACTAAGAGGCAGTGCAGCCCCCTGCTGCTTTATAGCCTTTGGCTAATGATAACAGGTTGCCTTTCAGTGAATGGGTCATTGCCATCTCCCTTGCAAACAAACAAACAGTATATGAACATAAGCAATTTCCAAGCTCTTCCATATATTCCGTCTACGTCGGTTCACTTGAATTCCAATAAACCTACAGTTACCTCAACAACTGTTCTATTTCTTATATCAAACTCATTTTAGAACCAATGAATAACCTTCTCTGTAACTATCCCTAAGTAATCCCTTGCTAATAATTTAGCTGTGAAAGACTGTTAAACATTTACAGGCAGAGTGAGACCATTGTTTGTTCTCTATTATACCGTTTCAGGACATGGGCAACGAGTTCGAGCACTCAGGTCAACAGACTTTACAGCGAAATTGCACCTAGAGGACTCTGTGCAAAATCTTACAGGTGCTGGGTTGCAGGCAAGGGTTTAATATCATAAATGTCTAGGTCATCACTGGCAAGCAGCAACTAGATTACAAATAATACAGTCTGGATTATCGTCCAGACATTGGTGATCCATTCAGCAGCAGCAGCATTTGTGCATATATATACACTAAGATGAGAAACAACTACCTTGTACTTCAGCTCATTGGCCATTTTATCATCTAGTACATATATGCACTTTGTAGGTTTACCATTACTGACTGTAGCCCATCTGCTGCAATTTATCTACCATGTCCATCATTGGAAAGGGACCACCATAGGACCACCACTGACTATTTTTTGAGTGCTGGAGGTGCTACTGGAGTTTTTACATACTTCTATGCAGAGAAGTTGATGCACGTGAGTCCGAGTTGAGTCTCAAGTCTCCATCGGTAGTTTATACTATGACGCACATACGCATGTTAGCTAGCGCAACAGTGCAGTAGCTGATCCAGCTGAAGTCTTAGCAAGTTTTAAAGGAATGTGATCTGTAAATTACTAAAACTTCAGCAAGATTGGCTGACGGCTTCAGCTATAATACCTAATGCTATTTTGCTGTCTAAACCACAAGCTAGCCAACTGTTTCAAGTTGCGTTCCCTCTTTCCTTTCAACCGAACATTTACTGCATGTAGCACATTATGGCCGTAGCAAAGCTGACACGCATGTAAGTCACACAGGTAAAGCTGGGAATGAAAAGCTTTTATTCAGTTATTGACAATTCATAAATCTTGAGTCATGAGTCATTTGCGAGCGAGTCGAGGCATGAGTCGGTCAACATCCACACCTCTGCTTCTATATACTGTGCTGAGAATAGGGCTGTGATGGTATGGATTTTGTTTTTACTGCGGTGAAAAAGCAACATATCCCCACACTTTGGCTTAGGAACTAGATCTGAGGCTATTTAATCGAATAATGTCAACCGGCTAGCGTCAACTGCATGGGCAATACCTAACGAGAGAAGTGTGCTCGCTATAAGAGCTTGCTATTAAAATCTAACTCCAACTATTTACGTTATGCTCCTGTATTTAATGTCCGTGTGTTCTGTGTGTATATATTCAACTGAATGTTGTCTGTAGATATTACAAGCACAAATAAGCAATGATTATTTCATAACACACACCAATGTTATTTCATAACACACACCATATAAACTCCTGTAACTTTTACCAGCTAAAAGAAAAAAAATGTAACACAAACACCCTGTGGTAGGTGCAACTGCGGTAATGCGGTCATCATCACAGCCCTAGCTGAGAATACTCCACCAGCCAAAAAAATCCAAAAATGACCACTGATGAAGGCCTAGAGAATGGCCAATATAAACTATTCATGGAAAAAGATGGGCTGCGGTCTCTAAACTGTGCACTACCGATCTATTGGCCAGTAAATTTATAATCTCATATAACACTGCATGAAGATATAACGGACTGAGATGGACAATGAAACATCCCCCCTTTCATAAATATAAATCATGAGTTTTGAAAGGTGTCCATTGGTTTTGAACCAGACTTATGAGATGCTAACACAGATTTTGGGTGACAGACTTTTAATACTTGTTAGCGACATTAGCTCCAGTGCAAAAGCAAACTAGGGACACCAAACATGTCTTGTTTGAGAGACTACTCTTTGAGTAAGTGGGGAGGGGGGGGGGGGGGGAGGGGGGGCTGTGTACACTTGACTTTTTGGTGATCGATTCCTCTAGTTGGTACTGTCTGTGTTTACAAGCAAAGATTTTTGCCAGTCCGATTGAATACATTCCGATTACAGATTCAGACTGAGGTGTTTATTCTCACTCTACTCAACAATCTGATGGAAAATCTCTGTTTACATGCTCACTACAAGTAATCCGGTCCAAATTTACTCGCGTGGGTAAAGAACCACTTAGTGTAGATGTTACCATGACAACGAGCATCGCGTGAGTCCAGTCAGAGTGAGATGAGCAGCAGTGAGCAGCGCTTTTGTTTTTAATTGCTTTAAAATGATGTCAGACACAGGAAAACGTCCTTCACATGTCCTTATTAAAGCAGGCCGAGAGGAAGACGTCGTGTTCTGAGACACATAAGCTGGACGTCCGTCCCACCGCCGTCTTTTAAAGATCAGAGCATAAACTTCGTCTCCTCTTCAGACCAATTTCTGTTCCGCCATGTTGAACGGTATAAACTTTCACCATGACGTGACGAACATGATCAGAGCAGACTTAAACTTTCTGATAGGGAATGTAATCAGATACAGGCGTTTACACGGATATTATTCTTCTATTTAACAGATTATTTACAGGATTACCCACCTCGTTCAATCAGACAGTAATTGTATTCCGAATAGCCTCAATCGGACTAGTCTATTCCGATTGAGGTGTTTACATGGACGTATTCTAATCCGACTGTGCTATTAGTCGTATTATTAACAGATTGTTAGGCTGCATGTAAACATGGCTATTGATGCGAAGAACGGTATGTTTGACACAACATATGAGGGTATCTTGGTTAGTCTTGGTTGGATATGCGCCCTTTTGAGGGACATTTCATACTCACCCACTTCGCGATAGGACATCCTTGTGAACTCTTGCCTTCCCTGCCCGTGAACAGAACCTTCTCTATACGGATGGCTTCCCCCTTCTCTCCAAACCTGTAGTGAAAAACACACAGAATCAGGTTCGGTTCCATTTACAACAAGCGCCAGTTTCAGCAGGGAGGGAATGGGGGACTGGAACAGGCCCAAAACTTTCAGTTTAAGAGCTGTGCGATGGGGTCAGAGGAGCACCAATTCAAACAATTCATCTCATCAAATTATCACTGTGTCACAGTCATCAGCACAAAATTAAAGCGAAACAAGGCTGGCTCTCATTCAAATGACTAAACTCTTGCCTAATTGAAGAGGTTAGAGTAGTTGAACCTCTTTTAGACTGAAATTGTGTGCAATGTGAATTATGCACACACACACACACTAGTTGTTTTTCTGTAACAGTGCTCGGTCCTGAGCACTGTTCACGAGTTCTTGCTAATATTCACAGCAGCATGAAAACACCACAACAGCACAACACAGCTCAGGAGTCTCTATACGTACGCCTGAGGTCGGGACCGTGAAAGTGAGTATCGACATACGAGTCTATGCAAATATATTGTTGCTGTGGTATAAAACGTCACAGCTGACTTTCCAATTACAGGGGATCCAGAGGGAGCTTAGCTCCACTAAAAGAGAGAACAAGAAAGCAATAAAAAAATAAAAATCTCCCCTGAAAACAATAAAGCCAGAGGTTGGGGGGGGCGGCGGGGGGGAGAGAGGCGGGGTCGCAGATGCATTATGCATTAATACAAGAATACATTTCTGTGCATGAGAAAAACAAGACGAAGTCAAACTCTCAAGAGTCCATCTCTCCTGCGTCTTTCTGTCCAGGGCATACAGTTGTGTGCAAAAGTTTAGGCACCCCCGGCCAAATGATGTTTTCTTGATTTTTTTTTTTTTTAAATGAACAGAAGTAATCATAAAAATAATAATAATAACAATAATATTTATTTATATACCACTTTCATGCCGGTGGCAGCTCAAACTGCTTCACAAGCAGGTGATAAAGCTCAACAGTAATGCAAGAAATTATAAGTATTCATTTAGAATCATAACAAGAAAATGACAGATCAAATTAAAAGATAAACACCACGAGACGCAGTTTTAATTAAATGCTGAGTTTTAAGATGTTTATTAAAAGTGTTCATTGAGCTTGACTGTCTAATAAAAGGTGAACTGAGCTCCACAGTTTAGAAGCAGAATAACTGAACGAGTCTCTCCCTGTTTTCTGTATTTTACTGAAGGTGTTCAGAAGGTCAGTATCTAAAAATCTAAGATCACGTGTTGGAACATAAACAGACAGACACTCACAGTGATGTAAGCGGAGCTTTAAGGTCATTTAGAGCCTTAAAGAACTGAACGAAGTGCATATCCATTATAGAGAACAAATAAATCAACAATATATGGAGCGTTCAAACTCCTGATTAAGTCCGAGCTGAACGTAAAATGTGATTTGAAGTTCTTCTTCTAGCTGGTCTGTTTCAGTCCTGTGCTTTCTCTGAGTAAAGGTATAGAGATGTTAGCTTTTCCCTTGCTCGTGGTTGTACGAGTGTGATAGCTGCATTGTACATGTTGTATCATTATTGCTCAATAGTCAGTTATATTATTAGGCTTTTTTTGATGCCTTTAAATATCATTTTGGAACAAATGCGCATATGTGTGGTGGGGGAGGCTCTGCGTGCACGTGTTTGTACTGTAAACACATGAAGGTTAGTGTGTGTGTTCACTATTGTCATGCACAAGAGCTGTACTCCACCTTATTGCACATAAAAATGATTTATGTATCGCAGTTGTAGGGCAATCTCGCACTGCAGCCTGTTCTATTGTACTGTTTTATTGTCTGATCTCAAAGGAGGATCTCTCTGAGAGCCAGCTGCTGAACTGTTATGTGGCATAGATCAGTATTTCAGCTTTAGTGCATGCAGCAAACTAAAAATAGATCTGCAAGCACTCATGCATGTGATTATTAGAAATGCTCAGTGTTCAAAAGCAGAGCTAAAACTTCAAAGCAGAAGTTTGGGCCAGCCCCCATTCTTAACTGTAGATACACTCGCAATGCGAGTTGCTCATTGGCATCAACATTTCATCCTTCACTTGAGTTACTTTTCTGGAGATGCAGGGTTTTGTTAAGACAGTGATGATATCCTTTGCATTAACATACAGTGTGGACTCTGAGTGTAACAATACAGCCTGTCATGCTGTGTCTTTTAATATGAGCCTCTCTATTTAATACGCAAAGCCATTGAACTATACATTCAAAGGACTTGAGCAAATAAAACACTACTTATTGTGTATAAATATGAAGTAATAAATGAAGCAAGCCCACAATGACGGCAGACCCTTGTCCTTTGAAAACACTGCTTACTTTTTACCTTAATATCATAGCGATAGGGATAGCACACTCCCTAAGAGCATACAGCTGTTGTCGGAACAAAACCCTGCATCTCCAAAATGGTAACTTTACAGGAGAAGGAAAAAACATACTTTACTTTTAATGTAAGTCAATGGAACCAGACTTTTTTCCATGTCATTTTGGGCCGTTTCTTTTGGTCTATTCATCATGAAATTTACACACAATGTACAGGGCAACAGGCATTTTCAAATGATGTCAAAAACCTAAAAACGACAAAAAATGGAGATACGAAGTTTTGTCCTGGCAGCAGCTTGTGGCTGGCATGTTAGTATAATATACTGTATTTTTTTAATGCTGAATGCTCTTAGAAACTGAAAATGGAAACATTAACCCAAGATTTTCCAGCACTTCTTATTTTGCTGTATCCAATCAACGCAGTACTGCATCAAAACGAATTACAACGTTTCAACTAGCGTCGAAAATACAAGCTTTAGTTAAGCTTCGATATGCTATTTGCACACAGTTGTGACAGGAAGCACGTGTGCTATTATAGACACCCCCCACCTTTCCTCGTCAAAATACCTCCTTATTGGGCACTGCTGTCAATGGTCAGAGCACAGAGGCTGCAAACTGTGGAACTGAACACCCCCCACACCACCCCACCCCCAAACCCTCCCCATTCATCCCCAATCACACACTTCAGCGGAGAAGCATCCCACTCCACAGGGTGGCCCAGCCAGGGTCGGAGGTCATATTAGGATGAGGCTTAGATTCAGAAAGTTTTAGTTCCTATGTCATTCTCGAAAACACAAACAAAAGGGATGCGTCCCCCACCTCCGACCCCTCTGCCCTCTTGAGCTGGGATGACTCAGCTGTGTAGTGGGTCTTTAGAAATACACCCACAATGTGGTCAATCACTCTCCCCCAATCAGGCAGAAAGAGCGGGAAAGTGTGGAGGATGGAGGTGTGTCTGCCAAACCAGCTTAAAGCGTTGCATGCATCACAGAATAGAGGTGATATCGACAAAATACGGGATTTGGTAGACTTTGCGATCGCAATGCATCTTGCAGTATATCAAAACTCAGTGAGTGAATCAACAGTGACATGGGAGTTATTTACTTCTAACTATGTTGACCAAAGTGTCTATGATATGACAAAAATATCATATCATGATACCTGAAAACACTTTCGTTGTAGACGATACGCACCACTATCTATGCTGGAAAAGCCACAATGCACCAATAGTGGCGGATTTAAAAACACCAACAATGAGTAGTAGAGTAGTAGTAGATTTTCATTTATTTCACATAATAAAGTCCAATTTATCAAGAATAATTATGCTCTATTTGCAATAAAACATGGAATTTCAAAGCTTTTAATTGCCAATGATCTCTACAATATACTCCGAAAGCATACGGTACGTAATTTATCACAATAACGACAAAATATCATATCGCCCAGCACTGTTTACAGAAACACTAAGCATCAGCCGAAACAGATTCAATATTTTTGTCCTTGAAAACTGCTAAACTGTTTAATAAGCTGTTTTTAATCGAAGCTCTTCACTTCAGATGATCACATTTAGGGCATTTGGCAGACGCTCTTATCCAGAGCGACTTACAACTGTAATCATTTTACACAGGTAGGTGAAGGTAGTGTTAGGAGTCTTGCCTAAGGACTATTGGTATAGTGTAGGGTGTTTGCCCAGGCAGGGATTGAACCCCAGTCTACAGCGTAGAAGGCAGCAATGTTACTCATTACACTATAAAAGCACCAATCCTCTCAAAGAAGACTGTCATGATGAAACTACTCAAACTCTCTCCTGCAGCGCAGCAAGAAACACATGGCACAACATCACATCACACCGTGTGACTGAATGATATTTCATGATAATCAGTTACAAGATTGAATCACATTCATTTATTTTGCCCTCCGATATCACATCCGGCGCTTTCTGCTGAGATCAGCCCGATCCTGTAACCAGAACACCCACAGACACACTCATCCCCGTCTTCCCTCCTCTCTCTCTCTCTCTCTCCAGTGTGGATCTGATGGAGATTATTTCCTCTTTACTCCGGTCGTATTGTGAGTCAGGGATCAGAGAGAAGAAGCAGAAGGTGAATTTTTTTAAAAAAGAGGGAGAGAGGAGGGAAGGTGGAGAAAAGAAGTAGAGTAAACAGTAGAGGAGAAGAGAGATGCTTATCCACAGCTGTGCAAGGGTCTCGTGCCAGGATCCTCAAGATACGGCTTCACTATAACCCTCACAGAACAAGCGCAGGGGCAAGAGGAGCTGTTAAGCAAACTAGCGGAGAGATTCTGTGAGAATTGCGGCGTGTAAACTTTCGATCCATACCACATTTGAGCATAGTCTTAGTCATAGTCTTGCTCTGAAGAATTAAAACAAGTGGGAAAAAGTCAGAAGTGCAGACTCTCAAACCTGTCCTTATAAATGTAAAGGTAAATGTGAATTATAATGTAATTATTACATAATAACTGTGTTATTACTGTGTAATTACATTTAAATAGTTAAGCAATGTAAGCTGAACGCACAATAGCAAAAATAAAGGCTTAGTAAAGGTGAAAGCACCTTTATGAAATCCATATGAGAAAGACAGCATGCCTCTTTTGCGCTGATGAGTCATATTGCATGCTCGTCTACGGAGTTCGCTAAGCTGTCACGTGTGCAATATCTGTGGTTGTTTATTTTCTCCGTAAATAATTATTGTTCACTGAAGCAAAGCGAACGCCTCCGTAAGATGTTTATCGAGGCCTTAACTCTAACCCTAAACGCAATCCTTGTTGATCAGTTGATTCTAAACAGTGGTGAGGTTAAGCTTAGGATTCGAGCCAGGGTTTGAAAATTATGGTCAATTTAGTAGATATTTAGTTCAACGTAACTTGAAGGTGAATTAAGTATCTACAAAGCATCTGAAGTGGACTATCCAAATAAAGTGTTGCCAATCATCCAATTCCTGGTTTGGCTTAATCAATCCTTCCACACCAGCTCACAAGATATTGACTACTTTACTGAAAGTAAGACTTTGTCACTTTGTACTGTATTTAGGTCTATTTGTTTTATTCTAATGATATGTGGTGATTTTACAACCCTAATTAAACTAAAGGTAAATGGAAGCTTTAGCAAAAGTTCTGTCAGGAAGACTCTAATGCTACAGTATTCATTCACTCATTACTCCTGACCAGTTGTTGGCCTACACCTGTCCCTGACTTATGAACCTATTTTGCTGCTTTCAGGTGCCGACATTTCAACGTTCTCCTCCTTCCTCCCCACCACCACCAGTTTGGTCCCTGTCCAGGTGTCTGGGGGGTAGTCTCCACCCCTGCCATCATAATCTGGCAAGATCTCACATTTACATTTATGGCATTCGGCAGACGCTCATATCCAGAGCGACTTACAATTTTACATGCTACATAGGTAGTGTTAGGAGTCTTGTCCAAGGACTCTTATTGGTATAGTGTAGGATGCTTGCCCAGGTAGGGGATTGAATCCTAGTCTACAGCTTAGAAGGCAGAAGTGTTACCCACTACACTACACCAACTACTCAAGATCTGTGAGGGTCTTGACGCTCCAAGACCCGGACTGAGGACGGGGCCTACGCTGAAGACTCTTTAATTTCTACTGGACTGTTATCTTTCAACTTCTAAAATCCCAGCGAGGATTAAAATTGTCTTCCTTCACTCCTGCCTCCTGAGTCTTCCTGGTAGAAATGGTTTTAAACAATGTGCTTAGGTGTCTAAGACTTTTGCACAGTACTGTACAGTTCAAGGTGAATCAAGGTGAATTATTACCAAAGGTGTTTGGGTTGAATTTCAGAAATACTGAAACTGAACTGAAACTGAATTTACTGACAGCAACTCAAATAGACTGCTCTGCATGTCTTTTCTGAGGGGCTAATGTTTCAGTAAACACTGCATAACTAATCTAACTGCTAGCATAACAACAAACGGCTCTATGTGCAGCTAAGCTCTTGAAACAAACTTCCTCAGTATCCAGTTGGATATTCAGTACATGACATACAATCCAAATTTATTGTGGTAGCTTGATCCCCAATATCACGTTCACCCACAGCTGAAGGATATGCTCTATAAAAAGGCTCCCACAGAAAATACGGAAGACAGAAGGGACACTGGAAAGGGCAAATGAATGTTAAAGGGACTAGGCCAAAGTTTCTCACCTGCTCTCCATCAGCTCTCTTATTGAAGCCACGGTGGGGCCTGCTCCCAAATGATTGTAGTACGGTCCTTCATCTTTCTCTAGGATTTGCTCTAGAGAGGGAGAGATGGAAGGGGACAGAGAGGGATTAGTTGAAACATGATTTTCATCAAGACTTTTTGGGGCTTCTTTTACACTCCTTCCCAAAAAAAAGCACATCATTTTCTTGACCCTAACACAGAAAGGTTCAGTTTCCAGAACACTAAGAGGATATTTTGAGCATGAGAACGAACTAGACACACCCTGGTGCCAAAGCCTCCTCTGAGATGACAAAAAACCGTTGTGTTGTTCAGTATGGAGCGCTCAAGAGAGCGCAAGTGAGTCAGAGCGTGTGTATGTGTGTGAAAGAGAGAGAGAGTGAATGAGGGAATTTAAGGTCATACTCCACTATGGGTGTCAGTAGGGATATAGGCGGGGCCAGTGGAAGAAAGCAACAAAATGACTAAGGGAGAAGAGAAAAACACTGGGCATGTGAAGGCTGCTTACTCCAGCATTGACTCAGACTATCTTTAATGGGTGAATTAAAAAGCAGGAAAACGACAGAGCGGTACACAGATACAGAGACAGATAGAGGAAAGCAGATGAACAGAGAGACCGTATGCAAAGATTGAGGATATCACGTCTGTTAGTGTGTGCTCGTGCCTACTATACGTATCAGATTACACTGTGTTTATTCGTACTGTTGACAGTGGAATGTGTGGTGAGGTTTTACTACGGCGACTGGTTGCTGGGTGACCTTCGTTCCTGGTGATAGTTAAAAGCCAACAAGTGTTGGGCTATGACTCGCCTCCCTCAGCAAAAAGCGCACACTCGGATTTGGTGACAGAATGAAGATGCTTGATTTAAGCAAAAGGCCTCTCATAACTTAGGAAGAGAAGATAAATGAAGGGTGATAGTAGGTCAGGTCCTAAAATAATGTTTTTATTTATTTCTTGAAAGGTAACCTGCATTTTGCACCTCCAAAATGGTTAATTTCCAGGAGAGAGAAAACAATAAACTTCTCAACTTATAATGGAAGTCATTTTGAACCACTACTACTGGTCCACTCATAAAAGCATGTATACCCAATATAAAGTGCAGGTGTTTTCAACACGTAAGAACAAAAAAAAGCCAAAAATTGAGGTGTAAGATTTTGTCCTGACAATACAACAAATGTACACAGGTATTGTGTGTAAAACTACATATTTTAATGTCTAGCATCAAATTTTCTGCCTTGACAAAAAACCTAGATGAGGGCAACCGAAAGATATGTGCAATATAGGGAGGTTCCAGTCTGTCTCCTTCTGCCCTGTCCTCCCTACCGCCTCCTGGTTTTAATGTCTAACCACTGTACACACAGCAACACATGATATACGAGCACAGTCACTTTATCATGTCCACAGCCCCTGTGGAGGCCCAGTCAGGCTCTGTGCTTGCTGCTTTGACTGTAAAACAGAGACAGAATGGCTTGTGGAGCTCAGGACCGTCTGGCTGCCCCTGGTCCGACGCGACACAATGGACCCCTTCTGTAAGGGCTATTGTTCCCTCTGCCTCCCCCAGAGAGAGGCACTACGGTCAGACCGCTGAGAGACGAGAGAGGGACCCCGAGCATGCATTCTCAGACGTGGGCCGGCTCTGCCTGGACGAACGTGCCGAGGCGGAAGTGATACACGGCAGTGAAAGGGAAAGACTTGTTTGGATAGTGAATGGCTAGCCACGTTTGTTTTAGATGATTAGGTGTTTGTGGCAATATAGCAACAACTATAAAGATTGAATGATCTCATTGGTGTAAAGGGTGATACTTAAGGAACACTGCACAAAAAGCTAACATGGCTGGCAAGAAAAAAAGCTACTCTGAAACATATGCTGGTTTGAGAGTAGAACCTATAAGCTTTCATTGGTCATTAGCAGTTTTCTTAAGGAAATCCTCTAATTTCAAATAAAAATTGCGCTCCGAATACAAAGCGTGGGACTTTTTCTGTATGAAGTGATGTCTGATTTGTTGGCTTAATTATATCTGATTTACTTAGTCGTCGCAGTGAGCAGTATTGATACACAGTAGGACTTTTATAATTATAATTTATATATTTAGCAATGTGGACAAGAGATAAACTGCTGTAAACTGGTGTTATAAAGGCATGTTGCTCATTTTATGAATGGTCCTCATGAAGAGGAAGTCCTCAAGGAACTTTATTCACAATTATGTTTAATTTTGTCTTCAGACACATCTAGATAAAAGAATCGTGGCTATCCAACCTTGCTGAATGTTTTCAGAGATGGAGGGAAATGGAAGACTTTCGGAAATTCAATCTGGGGATCTGGCATGTAGCATACTCACCCACACAGTCGCAGAGAGGGAACTCTGCCTGGCTGTCCTTCACAGGTGTGTCCAGAAGGCTCTTGGTTGGAGTATCCAAGTAGCGCAGCGGAGACTCCAGGAATCCTTTCAGAGAGGGAGCTGAGGGAAAACCCTCCTTTGTAGGAGTATCTAAACCATCTCCTGCTGTGGAGAAACAGCCAGTGGTGGAGAGCACTGTTACGCCGCCCGATGACTCAATCTTCATGCGTTTGGTAGGAGATGTGCAGGACATGGTGAAGGGGTCCACCAGGACTCGGTGCTGTTGCTGCTGCAGATAAGCCTCATGTGCTTGGGACAAGAGCGGGCCTGAGGGCTTGACATCCACTTTGCACTCCTCAACTTCCTGTTTGATGGCAGCAAGCTGGCTGAAGGACACTGGGGTATCTTCTTTCACTCCTTCAGCCTGACTATCCAGCTCTCTCTCCTTCTCTCCCTCTTGCATGGGCTCTGGCTGGCTTGACGTGTCCTCAAGGGGATTGGTGAGCTGCTCTGTGGATGGTGACTGGGGTCTGGCTTGTCCTGAGTTAGAGTTTTGTTGTGACTCAGTCACCACAGAAGGAGCAGGGCCCTGCTCCAGAGCATCTGCAGGAGCGCTGGGCAAAGTATCCCCAAATTCCTCCTCAAACTGGCGAATCAGTTCCTCAAATTTTGGATCAAGTGACCCGAGGCCCGCCAGGGGTGGAGTGGGCTGAGATGTGGAGGTCTGAGGTGTGGAAGTGGTAGCCTCACCTGCTGTGGCAAGGCCTGAGCTAGTCAGCCCCTCCTGGGCAGGGGGCAAAGGGACAGACACAGGGGTGGAGATTGGGGGAGTGTTTCCAGAGATAAGGGTACTACTGCTGTTCAAAATGGATTCCTGAGATTGGGCTGGAGCTGCCTGGCTCATAGCCACCTGAGAGGGGTTATATGGGGATAGACAGTGGGGGAGCCCAGCCTCCATGCCTGGTAGAGATGGCGTAAGCTGGGATAGGGATGACAGGCCCACTTGCATGCATGGAAGGGGTTTCTGTATTGTGATCTGGCTCTGTGGGTGGAAGACCGGTTGAGAGGCCTTCTGCTTGGGCTTCTTGATGATGATCTGTTTAGGTTTAGGAAGAGGTGGGGCCAAGGGGCCAAGCAGTCCGCCCATTGACTGCTTGATTATAGGAGAACTCTGAGCATTCTTTTTCTTCCTGGGCTCCTTAGGTTCCTGTTTAATGGCTAGAGTGCCCTCTTGCGTGGTTTGTGGCCACCACTTGCGTAAGGTCTGGCATGCCATGGGAGCAGAGAAGAGGTTACGTTTGTGATGAAGGAGCTGTTGCAGTGCTGCCTGAGTTGAGTGCCTAATAGATTGAGGAAGCTGCTGACCCTGGAATTGCTGCTGCTGGCCATTTACCATCCCAAACTGGCCCATTGTTGCACAAGCCTGAGCTGGGTACTCCCCATTGTCAACCTCCTGCTTGACATAGGGCATCACCGAGTGGCCACCCTTGTGGCTGTCCTTCAGACTCTGAGGCTGGGCAGGGAACTTGAAGGCAGCATTGGCATACTTTCCGCTGGTGTCTCCCAGGAGTTGTTTCAGCTCAGACATTGGGTCATTGCCACTTTGGGAAAGTTGTGGAACAGTAGCCAGAGGATCAGCGTTCAACATCATCCAGGGGTTCCTAGGAGAGCTTTTCTCACAGCTTGCCCCAGTGCCTTGCTGCCACTGCTGGGGAAAGGGGCTAGCAGTGGATGGGTGTGAGCTTGGGAAGGGGGAGGACCCGTATTGGGAGGAGTGGGGAACAGGACCTTGTGACTGAGGTCTGTGCTGTTCCCATGAAGGAGGGTCTTGTTGGGGGAAATGCCCAGGAGGGACAGACTGAGGCATCGGGGAGGATGATGAGAGAGGGCCAGGTGATGAAGAAACCAATTGCATCCCATTTTGGGACTGAGTGGGAGTTTGAGCAGAAGCATGGTGTTTGGAGTTTCCACTGGCAAATTCACTGACAGCCCCACCTGTGCCAGATAGTTGGGTCAGTGCCTCAATGGCAATAGCTGTCTTAAGGCTGACATTCCTCTCTTTAGCAATGGATAACACACTGGGGGAACAAGGAATGGGTGCTGGGGGACCGTAAGGTCTTGGAATCGGGGGCTGGTTAACAGGATCCTGTGACTGTGACTCTGAACCACAAGAGGGGTTAGCGTCAGTGGACTGAGGTTGGGGCTGAGATTGGTAGTGCTGTTGCTGTGTTTGAGGAGCACCTGACATCTTGCAGAGACCCTTGTCCTGGGTGTTGGCTGCCATTCTTATCTTCTTCTCCAGCCACTCAAGGTAGTCAGGACAGTCTGGTCCATCACAGTCACAATTTGGCGGCTTGTGGCCATGACGGGCTTGATTCAGTGCCATCTGGAGGATGTTCAGATCCTCCGGAGTGCAGTGTTCACCATCACCACTCCACCCTTTCTCCTTGGCATCATCCCCGCGATCACTCATCTCCTGGATGAACCTCTCATACAGCTGTGCAGTAGGGTTCTGAGAAGGCTGAGAAATGTTGCAAGTGGGCAGGGAGCCTGCACTAGCTGAGAAGGCTACCAGGGTCCTAGCATCCTCCATGTCCACACTGTTCACTGAACGACCAGTGGTTTGTTCGCTCCATCCGGCCTGTTGCTGCTGGGGGTTTGGGTCCCCTATATGATGCCCAGTCCCCCAGTCCTGGCCCTGGGGAAGACATGCTAATGTCTCTTGGTGGTGGTGGTTTTGCTGATGCTGCTCCCTGGCCAAAGCTCCACCTTCAAGTCCATCCGTCTCCTCTCCATTTCCTGCGTGCTGGTTCAGCCCATTGGACGGTTCCTGGTTCAACGCGCCTTTCTCCAGGCGGTCATGGTCAATTTCCATCTGGCCACTTCCTCTGGGGCCATCCACTGAACCCACCTTTGAAACAGTCTGCAAAAGACAAAAAGGGATCAAAGTGTTAGAACACTCAAAATCTCCAAGAGTAATTGTGGATTACACATCCTCACAAAACTCATATCATGAAATAAACAGGGCTGGGTTGTAACAGAATACATTTAACGGCGTTACACAATCAGAATACAAAAAAAGAAACCATATTTTGTTACAGTTACAGGAAAAAAGACAGTAATCAGATTACAGGTACTTTATAAAATTAGGGGGATTACTAGCAGGATTACATTCAAACACATCACCTGTTTAATGATAATTTGCCAATTTAATGATAAACATGTGACAAGTCATGTAAATCTGACAAGTTTTTCATTTTGGGAAGGGGTCAAGCTCCCCTCACAAGCAGCAGTTCACATCCTTTTATTTGGCCAATCTACAGAAATTTGAGTATTTTACTTTATTTGGCAGAACTAAGTTGACAACACTTCTATATAAAGCCCTATGAGTCAGTACAGTTCTTTTAGCAGGCAGAACACAGATAATGGTCAGTCAGAGTTTTTAGAACGACTTCTGTTTATGACCACTGTTGATGAGGGGTCTCAAAAGATGATGTCTACCAGACTGACCTTTAGACTGTGGTATAAAGCACAGACAATTAAATGACCTACGTCCATTTTGCATCATGAAAAAGTGCAGTCTTCCTTTTGCTGGAATTGTTTTTCTCTTCGTTTTATGACTTTAGGTCACTTAGAATTAGGTTATAATGACATTTTTAAAGAAGTAATCAGTAATCTGTCACGGAACACAATTTAAAAGTTACCCTCCCAATCCTGGTAATAAAGCATCATATTCCTCCAGTTTCAAAGGGTTACAAAGCTGGGTGTGGTACAGCAGAGTAAACACTGAACATTGCAGTGTTGCAGCCCCCCAAGGATCTGAGTTTGACTCCCTTCGTCTGCCTCTCTCAGAAATCCCAGTGTTATTCTTTGTAAGACAGTTTACCTGCTCTGCCCTCTGACACACTGTCACTCTCTCTGGCAGCTACCTGGCCTTAAAGGGAAACCAAGATGGACAGCATTAATGAGTTTTGAGTATCTCATCTCACCCTGACTCTCTCTAATAGCATCTACATAGCTTGAGCCTCAAGTATCTCCTCACATTCTGAATCTAAAGACTCCTGAACATGGTCCCAAGTACACAATGAGAGCTGTTCTACATAGGTAACTGACGTCTGGGTGCTCTCTGTATATCCCAAACCTCATGTTTTCTTTTCATATTTGTGCTTTCCTTTAAATTCTCAATGCTGATTTGAATGCATCACAGAAAGGAAATGGATCCAGAAACTACATCTTTATGAATATCACTGCTGCCTGAAGAAAACCTTGTTTGTCCATTTTTTGTCGTTTTTCAGTTTTTGACATAATTTGAAAAGGCCTGTTGTTCTTTACATTGTGTGTAAATTTCATGAAGAACGGACCAAAAGAAACGGCCCGAAACGACTTGGACAAAAGTCTGGTTCCATTGACTTACATTAAAAGTAAAGCAGTTTTTTCCCTCTCCTGTAAAGTTACCATTCTGGAGATGCAAGGTTTTCTTCCTTATATATATGAACCTCTTCCCAGTGTGTTTTGGACTCTTGTGCTCCACTGAGTACATAAGAGAAACATTTTTGGGTTTGACTATGCTGTTTCCAAGTCAGTGCTTCCAGGTTTATAGCTTATACCCAAGGTTACAATTGAGGGGCATAGCACACTTGACCCAAATCAGAGCCAAAGTGTGTCAATATACCTTATTTCCACTGAATAGTGTTGCTTGGGGAGGCTCGGTCTATGTTTCTATAAATGAACTTATTGTCCTTGAGAATTTAACTGGTCAGTAGGAGTAAGATGGTATGTAGCTTTCAGCTTTCCAATGAAAGGATTACTGTTTTTTTTTCCCTCTCATGCTTTGCCTGCTGAAAGCTCTAGGTTTTTATATCATGTGAAATAATATTATGATGTAATATTTACATATATATAACCTATAACTTTAGGTTAGACATGAGCACAGTTCAAACAAGCGGCTGTGGTTTCCTAGCAACGTTGTTAGCAACGCTGTTAGCAAGCAGGCAAGAGCACAGTGGTGCAGCACAATGATACTCGACTATGACTCAAAAGGGCACTGGTGTTCGTCTTAAACATTTTTATATTAGGAACTCACAGGGGCCAAGGCAAATCCAGTTGAGCTGCAGAGGTGGGGTGGGGGATTCTGAGAAAGCCTTTTGTCTGTAATGTGGAGAAGTGCTTCACGAGGGAGGATCTTGTGGCTGTGCTTTGAGGGTTTCAGAAAGTTTACTGAGCAGTTTCTCTCAGTTCTCTCAACACACAAGTGAGTCGTGCACTTCAGCTGACATTTAATGGCAGCAGTTCAAGTAAAGACTGACTAGTGTAGCTAAAGAGTGTGAAGCCTGTTAACATTTCTGATCATTAAAAAAAGGCAATTGTTTGGGAAAGAAATGAACTTCCAAGCTTTTTACTCCTTGTTAAACTGACCAGAGAGTTATTTAAGACCTAATATGTGCAGTCTTGTGCCAAAGTTTCACATAAACAACTTCTTTAAAACCATGTGTCTCAGTGTAAAGTGTGCTTCAGCTTAATGTACCATTTTGTAAGTTACTTATTGCAGCAATGTTACTTGTATTTAGTCCAATGTTAGTGTTTTTAAATATCATTTTGTCAGGTGCCTTAGACTTTTGCACACTTCTGCATATATCCTCAATGCAAAGTCCACTTAAGAGCACACTGATGGCTAACCCTGGTGGTCAATTAGCCTTCTAGCTTTGAGAATGTCCCAACAACACAACAAAGAAGCTAAGTAAATGCGACAATGCACACACACACACTGTTCACACTGATACTATAGTGATGGTTCCTTTATTGTGCTCCATTAATGAGACAGGTCTGGTCTTCCAAATCTTTGAATTCACCTTCTGTGCATGGTGTCTGCCGGGGGGGGCCCACGTGACGGCCGCTAAACTGCGTCTGTGTGCGCTTCAGAAGTGCACAACAGACAGAAAGCGTGTCTCACAGACTGGAACCCCACCGGTCACGAGTCCACAGTGCTTTTGAAACAGCTAAACCACACAACTCTTATGACAGACTTTTCGCTTTCCTCTTTTCAGTGGCGGAAAGCTACGCAACACACAAACACATGCTCTTAAAAAAAAAAGGGTTCTTTACTAGATGCATTAGAAGAACGACTTTTGGTTCCGTACAGAACCTTTCGGCGGACAGTTGTTTAAGGAACTTGGAAATAAGAGGTGTGAATGTGAAGAACCTTAAAGAAAGTCCACGTTAGGGCCGGGCAATATGACAATATTTATCGTTATCTTGATAAATTACACTGTAATATTTTACAATATGCTTTTCTGAGCATGTTTATTGCCAGTATTTGCCAACATTTAACAAACATCTTCCAAATTAGTCGCATAATTAGTCCTGTTTAATTGGATTTGGTGCAGAACAGTATGTAAAAATAAATTTACGCAGTTTGTTCATAGCAGTTTATAAGTGTGCCAGTGTAAGTAAACTGTGTGTCTTCTAACTGAATACAAATCATTGGATTCAAAGTTTTAAATGTGGCTCTTATTTTCTGTTCCAACTTATCAGATGTCAGAAAAAATAAATCGCTGCTGTTTGTTGTTTTTCGGTTTTTGACATCATTTGAAAATGCCTGCTGCTTTTCGCATTGTGTGTAAATTTCACGATGAATGGATTAAAAGAAACGGCCCAAAATGGCTTGGAAAAACATCTGGTTCCATTGACTTCCATTAAAAGTAGAGTATGTTTTTTCCTTCTCCTGTAAAGTTACCATTTTGGAGATACGAGGTTTTGTTCCGACAGCAGCGAAATATTGTGGCATACTGTGTGTAGTGAGCACTTATTGAAGTATCATGATATTACATCTCTGCCATTTCGCTCCACATGATGTAGAGATACCCATTAAACTGTTAAAGAACCTTCACATTATGTATTAGACCTTTAAAGGGTTCTTCACACCTCTGAACTGCTTTATGGATACAGGAACCTAAACCCTTTGAGGCACCTTTATTTTAAGAGTTTGCTGGGCTTTCGCTGACAGAAAGGAAACACAGTTGCGAATGAAGTGTAGGCCAGTTACTACAAACCAGATTCTTTTCATTCTCTGGCTCTGTGTCACTTACGCACCTTGCCTGCCGAGGATGACAGCACTTATATTTAGAGCACGTGCTCTTGCAACTATTTGCAGCTTGCCGTAGCTCTTTCCACTCTTCCACTCCAGCGCTACCAAAACATCAACACGCCCAACCAGAATGGGCTGCCTGACTCGTTCTACCCGGCTTTAACGCAATCGATGATGCACAAGCGAGGGTGAACCTTTTAAACCAAAAACGTGCAGAACACAAGTTCTGTCATGGATCCATATCTCACACACACACACACACGCAGCTATACACACACACATGCACACACAACAGATGCCCAGAGAGGATGACAGCACAAAGCAGCGAGACCGGCAGGGAGGGGGGGGCATTTGTGGAGGGTGGTGTGCCTGGGAGCAGACAGCTGAACACAAATCCACACGGATAGACACACGACACCCCACACATATATACTGCCCCCCCCTTAACCTTGCCTGCAGTCCAGTATAGTGGATCATAATACAAGCCCCAGTCTAAAAATCATCAAAAAAAAGAAAGAATGACCGAAAAAAAACAAAAGAAAGAAGGAAAGAAAGAAAGAATCTGGCTACTTACGCTGGTCTGGCTGTCCGGTCAGTAGACAGTATAGACAGCGGAGGGTGGAGTGGACAGGAAAAGTGCATGGAACGGCAAACGGCGACACAGTGCAAAGCCGGTAGACGATCAGCTCTTCTTTTTTTTCCTTTCCAGCTCCCTCTCTCTCTCTCTCTCTCTCTCTCTCTCTCTGTCTCTCTCTTTCTCTCTCTAGCCTTCTCTTCTTTCCTCGGTCTCAGTCAGTCAGTCAGTGCGGCAACACGCACACACACACACACACACACAC